CACAGCTCCTCCATTGCACATTTGTTGTTTTTACATTCTATTATATATTTTCTCATAGCCTAAATATTTGTACCTTATTCCTATTGAAGCTGTTTTCATATTTCCCTTGTATGTGTAAATGTACTTGGCAATAAACTCAGATTGTGATGATCAAAAAGAGGAAGAGCACCGATCTAAGACAACCATGAAGAAAGCAGAGATTTGAACTCTTTAATCAGCGTCCTGCCCTCTCTGCCTGTGGTCAGCTTGGTTTAACTTCTGGGCTCAGAAGCCAATAGGCAGTCAGGAGGGACATCAGTCACCTGCGCACACCTGATCAGGCTTCAGCTTTTTGAAAGTGGCTTCCTCTCTTTCATCTCTCCACTCTCAGGCCTCCAGCAGCTGGTTTCACTCCTCATTGCATCACAATCATGACTGATTCATCAAGATAGTTTTCACTTCCTGTAAACTTTGGATCATGTGCTCCCCTTCTTTGTCTCTTCCTGAGCCAGTTGGTGACATTAGTCAGATCCAGACATGGTTCCTGTCATCTTCTCCAGAGGCCGTTTCAGAAAGCAGGTTTAGTGCAAACACAGTCTGTCACTATGGTAACTAAATCTCTGAGTCTGTTACTATGGTAACTGAAGCTCTGAGTCTGTCACTATGGTAACTGAAGCTGTGAGTCTGTCACTATGGTAACTGAAGCTGTGAGTCTGTCACTATGGTAACTGAAGCTCTGAGTCTGTCACTATGGTAACTGAAGCTCCGAGTCTGTCACTATGGTAACTGAAGCTCCGAGTCTGTCACTATGGTAACTGAAGCTCTGAGTCTGTCACTATGGTAACTTAAGCTCTGAGTCTGTCACTATGGTAACTGAAGCTCTGAGTCTGTCACTATGGTAACTAAAGCTCTGAGTCTGTCACTATGGTAACTTAAGCTCTGAGTCTGTCACTATGGTAACTGAAGCTCTGAGTCTGTCACTATGGTAACTAAATCTCTGAGTCTGTTACTATGGTAACTGAAGATCTGAGTCTGTTACTATGGTAACTGAAGCTCTGAGTCTATCACTATGGTAACTGAAGCTGTGAGTCTGTTACTATGGTAACTGAAGCTCTGAGTCTGTTACTGTGGTAACTAAATCTCTGAGTCTGTTACTATGGTAACTGAAGCTCTGAGTCTATCACTATGGTAACTGAAGCTGTGAGTCTGTTACTATGGTAACTGAAGCTCTGAGTCTGTTACTGTGTAACTAAATATCTGAGTCTGTTACTATGGTAACTAAAGCTCCGAGTCTGTCACTATGGTAACTGAAGCTGTGAGTCTGTTACTATGGTAACTGAAGCTCTGAGTCTGTCACTATGGTAACTAAATCTCTGAGTCTGTTACTATGGTAACTAAAGCTCCAAGTCTGTCACTATGGTAACTGAAGATCTGAGTCTATCACTATGGTAACTGAAGATCTGAGTCTATCACTATGGTAACTGAAGCTGTGAGTCTGTTACTATGGTAACTGAAGATCTGAGTCTATCACTATGGTAACTAAAGCTGTGAGTCTGTCACTATGGTAACTAAATCTCTGAGTCTGTTACTATGGTAACTGAAGATCTGAGTCTATCACTATGGTAACTGAAGCTGTGAGTCTGTCACTATGGTAACTGAAGCTCTGAGTCTGTCACTATGGTAACTAAAGCTGTGAGTCTGTTACTATGGTAACTAAAGCTCTGAGTCTGTTACTATGGTAACTAAATATCTGAGTCTGTTACTATGGTAACTAAAGCTCCGAGTCTGTCACTATGGTAACTAAATCTCTGAGTCTGTCACTATGGTAACTAACCCTCTGAACCTATCCGGAAGCAGGTTTTCTTTAACAAACCGAGTTTCTCTCCGTCTCCTCTTACAGAGACAGAAACGCTGTTTCTTTTCCCCATTCTGTCATTCCAGTCCATATCACGCCGTGTTATCGGAGATTCACCGTTTGTCTGATTCTAAATCCAGTTGGTTTTATATAATCAATCATTTATATAATAAAACAACCTATTTCAGTCGAGGATCCTGGAGAAGCAGAATCATTACTCCTCATTAATGTTGGGAGATGTTACTTTAAGGGCTAACCCTACCCTTCAATAATGTGATTTAAAGAGCAGCTGTAACAATGCTCTGTGGTTTCTGAAAACCCAACTGATATTAAGATAAAACACTATTAGCATCCAAAAAGTCTGGAGGGTTTATTTATCCCGTCTGGTCTGGGAACACCTCAGAATCCCCCAAGAGGATCTGGAAAGTGTTTCTGGGGAGAGGGAAGTCTGGTTGACTTACTGCACTTGCTGCCACCTGACATCAGGTAAGCTGAAAAAAATGGCTGGATGGACAACATTCAAACTAACGAACAGACACGAGTTTCCAACCTGAGGGTAAATCCACTCAGAGCTTGTTCAACCTTCTTTCTGAAACGGCTCAGATCGTTTACATTTAATTTTTAGGCTTTTTTGTGATTCAGAAGAAAACAACAGACAGATCACTTTTCTTTGAGTCAGGTAAAAGAGTTTTCACTGTGACCTTTGACCCTACCTGACCATGTGAGCGATGTCCAGTTGGTTTCAGAAGACAGAGGTCCTATGATCTCAACCCTTCTTCGGTTACGATGGCGATCTCGTGCTAAAACAAAACACACAATGCCATAAATACTTTTTGGCATGATAACTGTTAAATCTTAGTGTCAGAGCATCGATATGACCTGAACAGATCAACACACACAAACAGAAGAAATATTTCCCTCAGACTTCAGCAGGATATACTCCGGAGAATTCACTCGAGCCAATAGGAAGAGAGTGACATTTATAAACAGAGACTGCATAGATTGTCTGCACGCTACCATCTCTGTGCTCTAATGAACCTGCTACATTCTGTTTCCTGTTCTCCAGTATGTTCTTCTTCTGTTGTCATTCCATTGGACACACATAGCATTGGTATAAAGACACCCAGATCCTCTGTACAAACATTAGACAGATCCTCTGTACAAACCTCCGACCAGATCCTCTGTACAAACATTAGACCAGATCCTCTATACAAACATTAGACCAGACCTCTATACAAACATTAGACCAGATCCTCTGTACAAACTTAGACCAGATCCTCTGTACAAACCTCCGACCAGATTCCTCTGTACAAACATTAGACCAGATCCTCTATACAAACATTAGACCAGATCCTCTGTACAAACCTCCGACCAGATCCTCTGTACAAACCTCCGACCAGATCCTCTATACAAACCTCCGACCAGATCTCTATTACAAACCTCCGACAGATCCTCTGTACAAACATTAGACCAGATCCTCTATACAAACCTCCGACCAGATCCTCTGTACAAACATTAGACCAGATCTCTATACAAACATTAGACCAGATCCTCTATACAAACCTCCGACAGATCCTCTATACAAACATCCGACCAGATCCTCTGTAAAACATAGACCAGATCCTCTATACAAACCTCCGACCAGAATCCTCTGTACAAACATTAGACCAGATCCTCTATACAAACATTAGACCAGATCCTCTATAACAAACCTCCGACCAGATCCTCTGTACAAACATTAGACCAGATCCTCTGTACAAACATTAGACCAGATCCTCTATACAAACATTAGACCAGATCCTCTGTACAAACATTAGACCAGATCCTCTGTACAAACATTAGACCAGATCCTCTATACAAACATTAGACCAGATCCTCTGTACAAACCTCCGACCAGTCCTCTGTACAAACATTAGACCAGATCCTCTGTACAAACCTCCGACCAGATTCCTGTACAAACATTAGACCAGATCCTCTATACAAACATTAGACAGGATCTCTATACCACATTAGACCAGATCCTCTATACAAACCTCCGACCAGATCCTCTGTACAAACATTAGACCAGATCCTCTGTACAACCTCCGACCAGATCCTCTGTACAAACATCCGACCAGATCCTCTGTAAAACATTAGACCAGATCCTCTGTACAAACATTAGACCAGATCCTCTGTACAAACATTAGACCAGATCCTCTATACACCTCCGACCAGATCCTCTGTACAAACATTAGACCAGATCCTCTGTACAAACATCCGACCAGATCCTCTGTACAAATTAGACCAGATCCTCTTTACAAACATTAGACCAGATCTCTGTACAAACATTAGACCAGATCCTCTATACAAATATTAGACCGAGATCCTCTATACAAACATTAGACCAGATCCTCTATACAAACATTAGACCAGATCCTCTGTACAAAATTAGACCAGATCCTCTGTACAAACATTAGACCAGATCCTCTATACAATATTAGACCAGATCCTCTATACAAACATTAGACCAGATCCTCTATACAAACATTAGACCAGATCCTCTGTACAACATTAGACCAGATCCTCTATACAAACATTAGACCAGATCCTCTGTACAAACATTAGACCAGATCCTCTGTACAAACATTAGACCAGATCCTCTATACAACATTAGACCAGATCCTCTATACAAACATTAGACCAGATCCTCTTCACAAACATTAGACCAGATCCTCT